TGTAATTCCACCTTCCCCCCCTACCCCCCCGCAAATAACTGATTTGTTTCCAGAAGAAATAGATAGCATTGATTTCAGTGCATACATGTTTGTTTGTTTTTTGTTAAATGCAACAATAATTTGATAAATATTATATATAAGCAAATTCATATTCTAGGTTTGTCTGAAGTATAATTGTCTGTTGCAAAAATAAGTAAATGGGGAGAGAGGAGATAATTTTGGAAAGAGAACCATCAGTTAAATGGTAGAAAAAAATATGAGATAAGGCACTGATCTATCTATCTATCTCTTTGAGTAAAAAGATACCTTGCAAAGCTTCTGAAGGCAGACAGTGCTTCTTAACAAGGAGAAATGTTCTAAACTCCTGCTGCCTTCTCAAGAATGATGGATTTTTGGCCCCAGAGTGGGATGAGAATGGAGATTTTACAATATCCTTCCCCCAGGAGTGGGGAGGGAATGGGGATTTTGCAGTATCCTTCTCCTGCCACACCCACCAAGCCACACCCACAGAACCGGTAGTAAAAAAAATTGAATTTCACCACTGCCCCAAAGGTGCTTTTTCAAAAGGCAACTGGACCAAAGCAGCTTCTTGGATGAGAAGTGAAATCTCTTCAAGGAAAAACAAAGTCCAGTTGTCTTCTGGAAGAAGCACCTTTGGGCCAGACTGAGAATCTCCGTAAACCTTTGCAAATTGGGAACCTGTTCTAAGGTGATTAAGAAGAACAAACTGTCAACTGTTATTTGCATTAACATTAATTCATCCTTGCCTCCTCTCCTGCTCTTTGTCCTTTTGCAGATGTCCAGTATATTAAGAGAAGAGACATCATCCTTAAAAGAGAACTGGGCGAAGGTGCTTTTGGGAAGGTCTTCCTGGCTGAGTGCTACAACCTCAGCCCCACCAAGGACAAGATGCTAGTAGCTGTGAAGGTAAAAACATGAGGGGAAACGTCTACACTTAGCTGCCAGAGACAACATCTCACATGAAGTTCTTGCTATGGTGGCCTTTGAAAGTAACCCAGCAGCATCAGTCACTGCAGAATGCTTATGTCTAGTTTTCTGACAAAGGTAGACCACTTGGTGGTGCTAGGTAGAGGAGCTCTACATTTATTCCTAGCATTTCTCATTCAAGTTGATAAAAGGAATTTTCTTTTCAAAAACAAGAGGATTTCAGGGAAATGAATGGAATGTTGTGTCCTTCAACTTAGGGACCTGATGGGTATCTACCTGTGTCTTGTATTTCACTTTATAATTTTTTTCTCATTTGCTTGGTACCCTGTTTCCCCGAAAATAAGACCTCCCTGGATAACAAGCCCAATCAGACTTTTGAGCGCCTGTGCTGAAATAAGCCCTCCCCAAAGATATTGCAACACAGCAGCAGCCATGAGGTGACCACAATCACTGCCTCTTGCACCTCAAAAATAATAAGATCTTCTGCTTGAGTAGGGGGTTGGACTAGAAGACCTTCAAGTTTCCTTCCAGCGCTATTCTGATTGATTGATCCTAATCTTTTTTTAAAAATAGCAAATGGTTTTAATCTAGCTCTAGTAGTAGAAAATATATCTATTTGTCTGGATGGGATGAAAATAAAGTATATTGGCAAAATAATAGAGTTCTGTTGCTCTGAGGGCTTCATGTTAACATCAGGAAGATAGTAGAGAGCTAAAAATAATCAGGATTCTAGGATGAAGACAGATGTTTTTTTCGGTGTGTGCAGCATACGGTCATCTATCTAAATATTTTTGGTCAGCTTCTTCCCTGATAGAAAAAAAAATGAAATGAAATGAAATTATGTGATGCCTTGAAGATATGGTGGTAAAATGTAAGATATGAAATGTGTTCTTTTTTTAAAACATATTTTCTATTTTGGAAGAAAAAAACCCCCAACTTTTAAGAGCTGTTTCATAGCACGGCATGATAAATTTTGAGTTACTTAGATGTAACTGGACTTTCTTTTGGATTCTTCTACAATGGATCAAGATTTTTAAGAGCCAATAAATAAATTGACTGAATTGGAAAAGTCCTCCACCGAAGTTTAAAAACATTTTGTAAAGTTTCTTCCAAACTGTATTTCTATAGCAAATGTAGAGTAAAGTAAATGTAGAAGTTTTTTTTTTTTNTACTTGCATGTAACTACAAGTGAAAAGAGTAATGTCCTGTCAGGGAGAATGATGGAGAGAAGCCATACAGTTCCATGAAACTTATTCAATATCTGTGGTTGAGCCAACAACATAGTGTAGCATGCAGAAGGCCAGCCACAATTTCCTCCATCACAAACAAGAGGTCATTGGTGGTACATCATAGGGACACCATCCAATGTCTACACTTTGCTGTGACACAAGGATAGATTGCATGCAATTGTGGTCCATCTTAAGAAGTCAAAACATGTAACGGGGCACTAACACAATGTTTGATGTTGTATGAGATGCCCACGTAAGAAATTGAAAAGCATGGAAAACCAACTGCTGTCCTTCCCGGGCAGAACTCATCTTAACAAGAATCGCCCAGGGATGTATTTTTGACTGGTTATTCTCTCAAGAGTAGAGAAGAAATATTCTTACCATTTTTCAAATGATCCCAGTTCATTCCAGAGGCAGACTGGAATTATGGAATGGAAATGTCCATTTAGGTCAGTAAACCCGACTCTTGGTCTAACATAGGCATGCAACTCAAAGTTGTGTCATCTTCACCTGAAGCAACCTAGCCAAATGGAACTCCCCATCTTCTTCAACAATTAGCTCTAAAATTAAATTTCTTTTTTTATTGTTAGGAAGATGTCTTCTATCCCCAGACAATATATGGATTGTATTGCCATTCCAACTGCATAGCTACTGGGTTACCTCTGCAGGGATGTTTCCCCACATTTCACTGGCTGTGGTTTGCCTCCCTGTTGTCCAGAATTATTTCAGGGATAGGCTTGTTGGCTATTGTCAGTGTTCATTCCTGATCTGTAGAGGAGTTGCGGAGTACAGAAGGTGTAGGCAGAGAAGGCAGTTGGCAGATACCTTGTTAGAAAGGCCAACTGCGATCTGATAGAGCCAAACAAAAGTTGGCACAAGATACCTGAAATCATTTTGGAATAACAACCAGCTGCTATTTATCGAGGGGGGGGGGCTTTTCTGCACGTACCAAAAGGCTATAAAAGCTTTATGCAGATCAGCCTCTCTAGTGACCTTAAAACTTAGCCTCTTCAGTGGCAGAATTATTATTCACAAACGGAGAAAAAAGGACTTGTAGCGAAATGACGCAAGTTAGAATAATGACATTTGATTTTCATCTCTGATTCCCATCTCCCTGTTGGGGGTGGCGGAGGGCTTAGATTCCTGTTTCATTTGACATGCAGAACGATTCTTTGAATATTTCTCCATCTATAATTTTTGGAGTTTTGAAACTCTGCTGATATTTGTATGACCAGTGTTTGTTGGCATAAAGTGAACGATTTAGCCGAAATACCTGTTCTTCTTTTGCTGCCTCAATTGCACATTTTAATTTTTTTTAAGAACTGCAGAATTAGAGAGCTGGGGGTGGTGGTGTACAGTGTTTCAGGCACCAGGCTAGAAATGGGGAGACTGTGAGTTCTAATCCAAACTTGGGCACGAAGCTAGCTGGATAACCTTGGGACACCATGGGACAGTCATTTTCTCTGACTGTTCGTAAGACAAACTACTATTGAAAATCCTGTCAAGAAAACAGCAGGAACAAATTCAGTCAATTGCCAGGAGTCAACACTGATTCGAGGGCATAAATATATATATATTTAAAAAATAAAAAGAATTAATTTTGCTCTGGGCGCTAGGAATTCGAACCACCGAACTGCCGACCTTTCTGACTGATAAGCTCAGCATCTTAGCCACTGAGCCACCGTGTCCCTTAACCATGGATAAGCATGGGCAAAATTAGCCAATCTAAAAACTAATCCTGATCAGTTCAACAGTGAACAGATTATAGATGCGTGAAAACATCTGGGCAATTTGCTGAATATCCTGCTCCAAAATCAGCAGTGAAACACAGATTGTCTAAAAAGATTTCAAGCAGGCTTAATACTAGCTGCCACTGAATTGCTAAATATTATTAATAATATCATTATTAGGGACCTTTCATTATGAATAAAAAGGTCAGTGGGACTTCTCTGAAGAAAGATTTCTTCTGAGATCCGTTGTTTTTGCAAACTGGGAACATCACTCTTTGCAAACAAGCGAAGATGTCTAGACTTGGTAGCTTTTATGCCAGCCCATAATCTTCTAATTAGCAGGCTTAATTGTTTAAGAGCCATTTAAATGGTTTGTGTTTCCAATGCTTTGAAATAGACGGATGGATAGATACCCGTGTTTCCCTGAAAATAAGACCTCCCTGGATAATAAACCCAATCGGGCTTTTGAGCGCAGGCACTAAAATAAGCCCTCCCTGAAAATATTGCAACAAAGCAGCAACCATGAGGTGACCACGCTCTCCACCTCTTGCATCTCAAAAATAATAGGACCTCCCTGAAAATAAGCCCAAGCATTTATTTCAGGGGTCAAAAGAAAATAAGACCCTGCCTTATTTGGGGGAAAAACGCAGTAGCTAAATAGATCACCCTGTTTTGCTGTATATGCATTTTTTTCCCCTCAAATGAAAAGCTTTATTCATTTTCATTCAATTTGTGTTCCGTTTTTATTTTCTGAATATTGTTTTTCTGGGCATTTCGAGGAAGCTGACCTTTTCTTGTTCTTGTTTTGTTCCCTCTACCTAGGGATGTTATTGTCATTGCTTGTAATTAAGACAAAATCAGCCCATTTCTCAAAGAGGAAGCAACCATACGTGAATAATCCATGTGTGTGTGTGTGTGT